ATCTGTGGCCTTCACTCAATACTTGCAAGTTCACAGAAGAAGAAATTTGGTCAATTTGCCCTAGAATTTCCTGAAAATAATCCAACTGAGGCAAAATTTTATTTTTTTTAAATGATTTATTTTTATCTATTCAAAAGACAGAGTTACAGAGAGGGAGGGAGAAACATACACACACACACACACACACACAGAGAGAGAGACAGAGAGGGAGAGGGAGAGGAGGAGGAGGAGGAGAGAGAGAGAGAGAGAGAGAGAGAACCTTCCATCCACTGGTTTACTTCTCAAATGGCTGGCTGCAATGTCTGGGCCTGGGCCAGACCAAAGCCAGCAGCCAGGAGCTTCTTCCAGGTTTCTCTCATAAAAGGCAGGGGCCCTAGCACTTGGGTCATCTTTTGCTGCTTTTCGCAGGCCATTAACAGGGAGCTGGATCAGAAACAGAGCAGCCAGAACAGGAACCATCACACATATAGGATGCCTGCCTCAGAGGTCGTAGCTTTACCTGTTATACTAATGCTGGCCCCAAAGCTAAATTTTAAATTTATATTACCTCTAGAGTGGGAGAGGGGAGTGTTGTGGGTGGGAGGCAAGTTATGGGGTGGGGGGAGCTATTGTAATCCATAAGCTGTACTTTGGAAATTTATGTTCATTAAATAAAATAAAATAATTAAAAATTAAAAAAATTTATATTACCTCTAAATCTTTTTGTCTACTTATAATAAATTTATTTTAGGTAGCTTCTAAAATCCAATAATCCATTCAGAAAATATTTGTTCAATATCTTCTATATACAAGGCAAAAGAGAGGATGCAAAAATAATGAAAATTCACTCTTTTTAGGACAGATGTGTAAGTCTGACAGAAGGAAAAAGAAATCTACAAAGGATCGGCTACAACAGTTTAAATAGACTCAAACCTTCAGGTTGAAGCGATCAGAAGACTTTAAAGAAGTATAGAATGTGGACAGTGCAGTTGGAGAAGTAGGTAAAAGTTGATGCTTGCAGTGCCGACATAGTGAGTAAAGTCACCACCTGTAGCACCTGCATCCCATATGGGCACCAGTTCAAGTCCCAGCTGCTCCACTTCTGACCCAGCTCTCTGCTAATGTGCCTGAGAAAGCAGTGGAAGATGGCTCAAGTGCTTGGGTCTCTGCAACCATGTGGGACATCCAGAAGAAGCTTCTGGCTTTGGCCTGGCCCAGCTCTGGCTGCCGTGGCCATCTGGGGAGTGAACCAGCAGATGGAAACACTCTCTCTCTCTGTAACTCTGCCCTTCAAATAAATAAATAAATCTTTTTTTTTAAAAAAAGAACTATAGTATACATATTATAACCAGAGTAGCCTTAAAAATTATCTATCCAATCCTATAATTTTATAGATAAGAAAAGAAAAAGGGAAGTATCCTTATAAGAGAAATAACGATTTACTTAATATCACATAGAGTTAAAAAATCTGGGCAAGAAAAGGTAGGTCTTTGGATTCCAGCGACTTCATTTCTATGACACTGCACTTCCATTCTGAGGTTGAAAGGGATTGTGTAAGAAAGATAGGGAAATGGGAGCATCACACTGTGATGGGACCTATCACATGGTGAGCGACAGAAGCTAGAACAATACTGCTATGAGGTATGTCTGGGAATCAGACTGTTGACCTGAGGACAAAGTTTGAGGGGGAGGAATGGAAGACACTTGGTTGAAAGCGGGCATCAAATGACAGAGCATCAAATGACAGACTAAGACTTTTTTTTATTAGTTAACATAATGGACACAAGTAGCAGAATTTACTTAGAAAATCTAAAAATCCCTTCCACACTGGTCCTGTGATATATCACTGGCGGTCTCAGAAGTTTACAATGAAAAGAACAGAAACCCTTCTGAAGCGAACAAGGTCAGCTAAATATAGCAAATTTATACTGGAAACAATCTCCCTTTGTTGATTCTTCTTTCTCCAAAATGAAGAATGGCAGAATCGGGGTAAAAGAAGGTGAGACACTGTGACCTGCTGGTCATTGATGGAATTCGTGATAGGACTGGTAAGGAGCAGTCTGTGACACCCCATGTTGCCTGCCTTGTGCCTCTTGGGGAGCCTCAGCTTACTGACTCTGTCCAGTTTCTAAATCAGAGGGACTGCCTGTCCTCTCCAGGTGCTGGGTCCAACCTAGGGAGCTGGAGCTGCTCTTCCCTCCACTCCACCCAAACCAATGCCGGGTCCTTTGCTCTGGTGTCTTGTTCCCTTCTTTAGGACTGGAAACAGATGACAGGTAGCTTACTGGTTCATACCAACATTTGTGCAGAACTCCTGAATCATCCCCAAACACTCTCATGTATCTTTTCCATTTATCATAAAAGCAGAAGCAGAGCTCTGTACCACCTCACCCTTTGCTCAGCACATTCTCCCCAACCTCCAGAGGTTAGACCACACTCCCTGCCTCTGTGTTTACTGACGAGGCTCTAACTTCAACCTTTTATCCTAGATGGCCCTCTTACCTGCTCAACTGTAGCTCTACTTGGGGAAAAAACTCTACCTGCACCCACCCTCCAAACCCTTGGGACATCAATACCACAAGGATATTTCAAAACCACTTGGCCATCCCACCTTGACCTCTATAGGGCCTTCCTTTTGAAAGCCTGCTCATCAGAAAAAATTATTTCTCAAGCTTCAGATCTGTATTTCCTGGGTTGTTCTTTTCCTCATGTTGATCTGCTCTGCTGTGATGTCAGTAATCTGAGGCCATTTGAGTGATGGCAGAAGTTCTACAAAGGATGCACACATTGCACCAGGTGAATGTCTAAAAAAATCTCTGAAACATTTATTAAAAAAAAAAAAAAGCAAGCTGGTGGTTAAGACACCACTTGGACACCCATATCCCATGTCAGAGTGCTTGGGTTCAAGTCCCTGCTCGGCTTCTGATTCCAGCTTCCCGATAATATGCAACCTGGTAGGCAGTAGGTGATGGCTCAAGTAGTTGCGTCTCTGCCATCCATAAGGTTGACCTGATTGTGTCCCTGACTTGCATCTAAGACCTGGCTATTGTAGACATCCAATATCAGAACTAGAGGATGAGAGATGTCTCTGTCTCTCTGCCTTTCAAGTAAATACCTACATATATACATAAAAACTTTAAAGTTTGTCAGGGGCCTGCATTGTGGTCTAGTGGGTAAAGCAGCTGCCTGTAATGCTAGCATCCATAGAGGGCTCTGGTTAGAGACCCAGGTGCTCCACTTCCAGTCCAGCTCCCTGCTAATGGCCTGGGAAATCAGCAGAGGATGGCCCAATTGGTTGGGCCCCTGGCACCCACATAGGAGACCCAGAAGAAGCTCTTGGCCACTGGCTTTGGTCTGGCCCAGTCTTGGCCATTGTAGCCATTTGGGAAGAGAACTAGCAGTTGGAAGATAACTCTCTCTTTTTCTCTCTCTTACTCTCCCTCTCTCTGTAACTGTGACTTTCAAATAAATCTTTAAAAATACTGGGCTTAAAAATACTTAAAAGCCCACAAGTGATCACTTTTCAAAGTGAGATGAGAATCTGACTTCTTGGATTTCAATATTAATATTGATCATACTGATCTTTATCATCCCACTCTGGTGTGTACAAGTAGATTCTTCAGAAAAATGACTTTTCAGTGAAGTGGGTAGAACTTTCAAATGCTGAGAAAAAAGACTCATGAATAATTTACTGTTCTACTCTTAATTCTTGTTTAGACAAAAAATGGAACAAGAGACTCCTGAAGTACTTTTAAACTATACAGTGATACAGAGATTTTATTTTTAGCTGGAAGAACCAAGCACTGTGTGAAGTACTTTCCATGCATTATCTCATGTCATCCTTAAAGAAGACATACTATTTTTATTCCCAGGTTAGTCATTAGGAAACTGAGCCTTGGTAAGATAAGCAATGTACCCAAGTCAGATGGCCATATGTGGAAGAATTGGAAGATATCTAGTCAGCTCACTTCTAAGACTGTGCACTCAATCGGTAAATTGATCAGGTGGTCCCTTTTTATTAAAAAATTCTTTTAAGATTGCAAGCTTGAGGGGTTAAATATACAAAGAATATGTACTGTTTATAAGTGCAAGAAAAAGCTCATTACCCTTAGTTAAGAACAATTTTAAAAAGTGAAAATGTGTTCACTCTGTGTCAATAATTCAATTGAAGAGAGTTATTGGACCCTGTAAGTATAAAATTCCCTCTTCTACCTCCATAAACATACACTGAATATCAGCTACGCAGTAGGCACCATGCTGGGAACTGACACAGAGGTAAACAGGAGAAACATGATCCCTGCTCCTAAGGAGCTGCCAGACCTGTTGGAAAGACAGTCATCCCACATGTAAACACAGCACCACAGGACTCATGTGATAAAGGGACAGAAGTGAGGAGAAGCAGGGGAATGTTAACTCAAGTAGGAACAAGGGAAGGCCTCCATGCCAAGAGTTCGGGACAGGGCATGTAAGCAGAGGATATTCTATGCGGAAGGAGGAGCAGGAACAAGGACTAGAAAGAAGATAAGAAATCAAGGGAAATTTCATTGTGGCTCAAGCCAATGCAGAAAGAAAAGAGGGGCCAAAGCTTAGGACTGGAAAGGTGAGCTAACCAGATCCTAGAGGACTGGATAGCACGCTACAGACTATACCTAAGGGTCAGGGGAGTCAGTCCTTCACCTGGCTGCCAAGCAGAGAGCAGATCACAGTGGGAGTGCCACCGCTGTAATCCGGGCGCTAACTGAAGCGAGTGGGGGCTAGCAGGACAGGTTAGGCAAGAAGAGTAGATATTCAGGAGGCAGAATGGAAAGGACTTGTTCTGAGACTGAATGAGAGTGATTTAAGACTCGAGGCAATTCTAAAATTTAGAAGGTAGCAGACTCTTATCTTTTAAATAAATCAGATATTTAACTAGGGTAAAAAAATTATTTTAAAAAAACTAAACAGGAAAAAGAAATTTACTGCTTCCTAAATACTGTTATCATCATTTATTCATTAGTACCTGCATGCTAGCCTTAACTCACCTGGTTACCAACCAATAATAAGTGTTCTCCAAGGAGAAAGTCTTTGAGCATGTCTTCCATCACCACCATGTGCTAGAGAAAGAGAAACAGAATAAATGGGTTTCCCACAATAAATAAGAAAGGTAACTATAAAGATATCTTTGTGGAATGTAAAACATATTATGATAGTATATTCAAATGATTGGATTTAAAAAAACTGATTAATAATTTAGTTATAAGCAAGTTATATAACCAACCAGGTGACTGATACTGAAAACTTGAAATAGTCCCCCTGAACAAGACAAAGCCACTGGGCCAACATTTCAGAGAGGTTTTATAATTCAATTCAAATATTTTCATCCATTAAACTATGTAGAGGTGGCTTATCACTTAATATAATATTTAAATTCTCACTTGCTAGTGTAAATATATAAAGGCTTCCAAAACTAATTGGAGATTTCCATGGAATATTTTACACTGATTTGTTCTTAACTATTACCTTCAAAGCTATGTGTAGCTTTAGAATTAAAAATATATTATTTATCTTCCACGGTTCTTTATTTGAATTATGACACAATATAATAAAAGAACAAGATTAAAGTTGTTCACAAAAGCCACAGAGGAAATTACATTCTCTTTTGTGTCCTGAAAAATAGGACACCTGTAAATAGGCTATAAAGGCTCATCAGGGGTTGGGGAGGGAACTATGTCCCCGTCTTAGTAATATCCTCATCGCTTATTCTTGGTTTTCTGTATCAAGTTCCCTATTTGTACAAAAGGTAAATTAACCTTCAGCATCTAATACATGCTGTAGACGCTTTTCTACTGTGTCAGCTGCTTTCCTCTTTTAACTTGGTTTTTTTGGAAAGCCATGAAATTTTCCTTGTCAAATTTACCAATGTCTCATTTTCTTTCTTAGAAAAAAAAAAAAAACTGAGAAAGTTTTTTTCCCTGCAAGAACAAATGAATATTCCCTGATGTTTATCTTGATAGTTTTAATTGTTTTACAAGTGTTTTTAGATACAACATAGAGCTAGAGTTTTAATAATGCCTGAAGATGAGCATATCCACTGATTGTTCATTCTGGAACACTTTCAAGAACAAAAGGAGAAACTATTCATAATTATTCTGAGAAATAACTATGTACAGAGACTATCTTAAGCAAACCAAGATATATGGTTACCCCATAAAAAGGAGTCCTGAAATACTATTTTTTAAAATTGGGTGCTAGCAGTATATAGTCTGAAGACTTCTTCCTTTTAACAAAGATAAAGTCAGTGACAATTCCCAGACAAAATAAATTTTTCCCATAAAAAATAGGCTAAGCTATGTGATGTATAGATATAAAAGTTGGAATGAATACCTGCATAGCCAGGTAACACTGAAAAAAATAATCCAAACTATATTTATATTCTTACTTTCTCACCCTTCTCTTGTCCTCCTACCTTCCGCCCTCATTACATCTAACAGGATTATTCAAATCAGCAGAGGCTAAGGCCACTGCCAACACCATTTTTTTTCTCTTGACCTCTTGGTTGACAGCACCACAGACCATTTCTCAAATGTCTCTCCTGATTCCCTCGTACCTTCGTAACGATTTATCTCCCTAGTTTTCTTAATTGGATCTTCTTGTAGCAAATCTTTTAATACTGACTTTCCCATGGCTCCTTCATTTGTGCTCTCTCCTTACATTTTTACTCATTTTTTTCTAGGTAACAGTTGATGTAAAATTAAATAAACAAGTGTGGAAGGGAAAGGTCACATTCCTGCAAGGCAGAGCAAAATGTGCCCACTCATTCACAGGTGCCCACGTGAGAGCACATGTGTGCACAGCTGGGTATCTGCATGTCTGTGCTCCAGGAGCTGCCTCTGACTCCGACGTCTGACGTCCTGGAGCCTCTCGTCCATCTCGTGGCTTCATCCACCAGCCCACGCTGATCATCAAACAGAAACATTTTCCTCCTCAACTCCAGTCTCATAGTTATGAGTGCTGGCTGAACTACTTGATTATGCACTAGTCTCCTCCTCAACCCAGCTCATGACTTTTCACTGTCATTCTTTACTCTGTACTTTGTTTTCCAATTAAGAGCATCATTTGTACCACCTGACCGAACCCCTGTCCTCATCACCACTCTTCCCACCTTACTCCTTTTCTACTAAGGTCTGGTTACATACCAAGTCTTAGCTATTAGGACACCAAGAAAAAAAAAAATCAAATGTATCTACCCTGTCATTTCTGTCTGCACAGCTTTGATCCAGGTTTTTAATCACCTCTCGCCTAGATTTTTATCAGCTGAGTCAGTCTCTCCCTGAGCCAATGTGTTTTCTATAACACTCACACAGTCATTTGTCCAAAATCTTGCTACTTCATTCTTTAAAACATCTTAAAAGACGCTTAATACACTGGGAACAAAGGCTCTTCTTTACATGCTCGATCTCATCTCAGCCTTCTCTAATAGTGCTCTCCTTCTCCTGTACTTTGTTTCAGCCATGGGCACAATTTAGGATAATTTTCTGTTCACTGTTGTTTACAGCTCTACCACACTATGTGCTCCCTGAGGGAGAATCTCTGCCTCTCTGTAACAGAAAGTGCTATCGATTGCACTTCTCCAAAAACCTTTTGATGTGCCCTCTCTTCTCTGTCCCCACTGTCACTTCTCACTGCCTTGGTTCAGAGCCTTCAAGACCCTCACTTAAGACTGCTGCAGTAACCACAGAGCTAATTTCTCTTTGGTTTGGTTTGGTTCTAACTCCCTGACAACACTGAAAAGCACACCCAAGGTTAACAGAAGAGCAGAATCTTTCACTGGCTTTCCCATTTCTTCTGAGTTCAATCTCAGTTCCCTATTGAGCAAGTCCCGACTGATGGGATTCTTTCCTAATCATCGTGACACTCATCTCTTCACACTTTTCCACTGGCAACCTCAGTGCTGTGCCAATGACAATTAATCAATGAGCCGCTTTTTTTATACAACCAAGTCTTTGCAAATGCTTGTCTCTCTGCCTGAGAAACTCTCCCAGCTTTGGCTGCTTAACCAATTTTCTAGGGTCATTCCAACCTGAGACCACGCTGCTACACTAACTGCACATACCTCTAACACACTGTGCAGTGCTTACCACAGTGCTTACTACATTCTTTCTCCTCTGGGAGGTACAAATGCTTCTGTGTATTTTAACCTCTGTGTCCCAATACCTTAGTACAAGGTCTGACTCATGGTAAATATTTTTAAAAATTTTCAGATCTTAAGCTCCTGAGCTTATTAAGATCTCTTTCCTCAATTTCTTCCCTTTTCTGTGGCAAATGTTTCTTAATCAAAGATTTAATGACATCATACTCTGTAGTATGAGCATTCAATGCCTTGTCCATTCTTTCATTCACCTGTTCAAAATGTATTTATATAGGCCAGGCACTGTTATCTGCTGGAGATCCAAAATAAAGAAGACACAGGGCTTTGTCTCAGCGATACAGAAGACAACATGTTAAAACATGTTTTCCACACAATGTGGAAAGGAGACAGCAGGGCACAGAGGAGCACGATGGGACAGGAGCATCTACGTCTGCAAGAGGCACAGAACACTGCTGCCTCGGAGATGAAATGGAACAGAAAAGGAAGTAGTGATTTCAGCAACAGACGCAAATTTAATCAAGCCACTGTCCCCAGAATTGGTGCAGCTAAAAATTTTCCATTAGTGGCTAATTCAATTCATGCTGCTTTACGAAGAGAAGGTGTGCTTGGAGACAGGCTACATAAAGTCCCTCAGTGCCACTGTGTAAAGTTCACAGCAGCCCTGCAGCCTCAATGTCTGTGTCACAGGCACCATGGCAACAGACGTCGTGTTCAAGGGCACAATGGTCTCCCCTTCTACTGAATTTCCTACATTCTTGTATGCTGTGAAGTCTTTTCAACCTTTGCTGCCATGGGGTTTTTCAAATTGTCACTCACAGGAGTTTCCTGATTCTTTTTCTTTGTTCCTTACCACTACATGGACAGAGATGATACCACCAATGCTCAGCAATAGTATATTTCCTTACAATCACGTTTTTGCCTTTATTTGTTACGCAAGATTTTCTTCCTTCTTTGTATCATGTTCATTTGCCTATTGACTGTGCAAGAACATTAATATTCCAGAAGAAAAATAAAGCATTCATTAGTTAATTGATGGTAGAATGAATTGAAAAAATAGTGTCATGCCTTGTGCTGTGTCATATATGATAAATATAATTTCGACAGATTTCAGAATGTTTAACCAAGACTTTTATTGAGAAAGAAGAATTTGCCTGGATATTTCCTATGCTGTTAATTTAGCAATATGAATTAGGATACTCATTGAACAACACAGAGAATTAGGCAATGTCAGACTTAAAAAATAAATTGTACTCACTCATAATTACACTGAAACTAGTAAGAAGGTTTTCTAATATAATTTATGAATATAACATTATTTACACACAGATGGTGACTATTGTAGAAAAAAATTTTTTTTATAAAAGAAATAACCATATGACAGAAAACCTGAAAATGAAAACTGTCATGACTGATTTTTCCCTGAAAAACTGTTATTAAAGTGAACATATATAATAAAGCTTTCTAGATACAAACTTATTTCTATGTCTAAGTGAAACATCCAACAATTACTGGTTAGGTTAAAGCTGGGAAATCTTCTACTCTTCTCCCTTGAAAAAAAAAGGAAAAAGAAAGAATACAAAAATACTAGGAATTTGTAGGAAAAGGCGTACTAGGGTAGGATGTATAGGACATTTCCCTATTTAAACTACTAAAATGATGTAAATAACAAGCAAGCAAAAGAGAGAAGTTTCTATGTTTTTTTAAACTTAATAATGTATTAATATATGTGAAGTAGAATCATAAAATGTGTGTGAATATAAAATTTATTCCCCTAATCATAGCAGCAATTCCTTCAACTTTCAAGTATCTTTGGAAAAAATTTTAAATGTATAAAACCTTAATAAAAGATGTTCAACTCTTCATTTTTCATCATTCAAACTGAATTTAGGAAATGACAAATATACCTCAGCATCATCCCATAAGGTGTGATTTATGCAAGGATGCAAACCTATGCCCTTACCTGAACATTGTCATAGAAGAGAACATCAGGCACTTTCATTTTCTCATGGGCATTGTAGACAGGTGCGCTCACAGTGCCGATCCTCAGAGATCCAGACACCACTTCACCTTAACATTTCCCAGGATAGAGAATTATTTGTAGCAAGGTCCTCAGAGAAGCTAAGTCAATCCAACTTAGGATGCAATACAGCCTCTGTAATACCTGTGGGTTCTTCAGGGACTTTAACTCAACAACTAAAGAAATAAGCTTGAAGGTGATAATAACCTCATAGCTCTACATACAACTCAGAATGTAAGAAATTTTATTACATCAATATATATAAAAATATAGATAAAACTGAGAGACAAAAAAAAAAAAAAACAGTCAAGCCACCTACATAAGCTTATTCAGCCAGAGACTATAACATACAAATAAACCAAATACATACTTGAGAGTTCAAAAGTATCCAGAATATAATTTTTAGGACCCATCCATTGAACAGGAGAACCTTCTAGAGCTCCAGTAAGAGCTGGTGTTGTGGGACTGTAGAATAGGCTGCCACCCAGCAATGAAAGCATCCTAAATAGGTGTCCCAGCTCAAGTCTCAGCTGTTCTAATTCTGATCCAACTCCCTGCTATGGCAGTTGGGGGGACTGTGGAAGATGGCCCAAGTACTTGCAGTCCTATCAGCATGTGGGAGACCAAGACAGAGTTTCTGGCTCCTGGTTTTGGCCTGGCTGTTGCAGATATTTGGGGAGTGAACCAATAAATTAAATCTGTCTCTCTCTCTCCCTGTCTGTCACTCTACCTTTCAAGTAAGCAAGCAAATAAATAAATAGTCTTAAAAACAAAGCAAGTGAACTGACTCACCCCAGCTTTCTTAAACTTCTATCTTAAGGGATGGCCCAGGAGCTCTACGTGAGTGTTCTCAAATAAGTACCCAAGTGATTCTGACACTCGGTTATACTGGAAATCTCTGTGCTATGAATGATTCTGTAGTAGTTATTATTGTAGTATATGTTATTTGCATTAGAGTGGTTGTCCTAGAATAGATTATGAGTTCTTTGAAACCAAGAAATGAACAATACATTTCTTAAAGTTAGGGAACATAGCTCATGTGTATGAGCATTCCCTGTAGTGACTAGAGATACATGCTCACTGTTGGGCATGTCCCAGGAGAATAACATCAGTAGTACCATTAGTGTGGTAATACTCATGTTCACAATAATAAAAGCTATCATTTACTAAGGACATCTCAAATGTCTAAGCTACATCTCAAATGAAGTGCTGCATGTAAGTTTTTTCCTTACACAATTTCCTGTCACTCTTAACAATGACACAAGAATTAAGAGTAAACTAAAATTAATTAATTAATTAATTAATTCTCTTAAAAATCACAAGGCTAGCGCATAGAGGTTGAAATAGAACTTAGTCTAACTTGGCATTCTTCCTACCATGTGAACTATATCCAATTCTTTGACTCCAAATTCTGTTCCTTCCTGTGGAAATACCCTAGCAAGCAGAAATACAATTCCAATGCCTTAAACAATTCATTTATCTTTTCTTCCCCTACTTCAAGTAAGAATATTATAGCATTTTTCCCCCTCCAGAATGATAATTTTGTGCTAAATCATTTTTGAAAGACAAGAGGGAAGCAACATTTGCTTCTGTGGAGCACCAGGAACAAATGGCGCTGAAGTAATTACACGGGCACCTTGTTTAATCACTGCTGAGGGCTGCACATCCGCCAAAGCATAGCAGACCTTCCAGGAACCTCTCCCTTCAATAGTTCAATAGATTCTTGGCAATTTCCTTTTATTTACAAGTTCCGAAGTGAAGAAAAACCATGAGCTCTCACACTGAGAATTTACTATTTATTTATATAACACCTTTGATAGAGATCCAGCATAAAATCATTAAGGAGAAGAGCAGGAACCTGGCAGTAAACCCACCGGAGACATGTATGTTGAGATAACAAACATGATTTTAGGTTCAAGCAGCATCTGATACCATCTATGGTTTAGTTTACTAAGCATATTCATTCAGTAGATTCAATTTAATCCACTCATCCAAAGCTTACTGTCAAAATTTTTGGGGGAGAGATTTTTTATTTCATAGTGAGTCAGTAAGGCATTTTTGCTGTTGTTTAAAAAAAAAATCTCATTTCCTTATAGAAACAGTTTTTAGTTTTTAATGAACTTGTAAACAAAAATGCTCCCACTTAAAAATGAAAACATAATTTCAGATAGTATAGGTGTTTATGTTATTACATTTATGTAAGCAACATATATACATGTTCAGCTATATGATGTTAAGTAAATTTCTGTGACAAATATGTTTTTAAATAACAAGAACATTATAGAACTAACGCAGAGCTCAAGGATTATCTAGTAGTCATTAAGTTTTTCTCAAGTCTTCACTTTAGATGCTGTTATTTCTAGCACAGGTATGCAGGCAGAGTCATTCATATGTTCAAACACTAGAATCTTTGGTTGCTACCCTGTCAATCTGCTTGCAAACAAGAAGCTAACAATTTGAAGAATGTTTCAAGTGAACAACTTGTTTGTTTTTGTTATTTATTTGACAGGTAGAGTTATAGACAGTGAGTGAGAGAGAGAGAGAGAGAGAGAGAGAGAGAGAAAGGTCTTCCTTCCATTGGTTCACTCCCCAAATGGCCGCCACGGCCGGCACTGTGCCGATTCGAAGCCAGAAGCCAGGTGCTTCTTTCTGGTCTCCCATGCGGCTATAGGGGCCCAAGTTTTTATTGTGATATAAATAGAAAGATTGTATCACACAGACTGTAGATTGTTTCTCTGGATAATAGACCAGTGTTAGCAGTGCCCATCTAAGCTTCAGGTAGGTTACAAAGAACCCAAGTGAAGAGCTTTCTCAGTCGTCTTGCTCCTTTAATCTTCAAGGCTGTCTGTTTGGCAGAGAATTGTTTTGCTTTACTTTATGGGCCATCCTCCTGAGTGAACAACTTGTAAAACCCAGGGGTGGAAAAACCCTAAGAATGCACAATTGTGAGAATTTACAATCATTACAACTGCAGCCGAAAAGTGCTCATGCTGTTCTTCTGAAATGAGATTTCAAAGCAGTATAGTTCAAAATAAAGGATCTTAACAAAAAAAATGCCATATGAACAATTTCTTCACCAATTTGTATGTGTCAACCATTTAGTTAACCTTTCCACTTGAAAAAATACAATAGAAACCTGCACACATGTTTCACCACTTCAGTTAATATCCACAATTACAGCAGCTAAAACTCAGGATACAGCATCACCAGTGCCGCCCAGAGCCAGTCTGTAATGAAATTAAGTTCTTCACACCAAGTAAATGGTCGTCCACAACCACTGGCTAGTATACAGATGAAGTAAAATTTCTAGATTTGGGGAGAAACAAATGCTGTCCCGATCATCTGCTCTGCTGCTTCTGTGCCAGGATTTCATGTCACTCTAGGTTCTGTTGGTTTGCTTGCCCACGGGGGTTTGGGCCTGCTCAACCTGCCCACTGGAAGATACTGCCTGTTGTGCTGCTTTCTGCTTTTAACATTGTCCAATCAAATGTGTAGTCATACTGGTGGTTCAGGACCCTAAAAAAGGAATAGCTGTCTCAGATACACTGACAATTTTAAGTTCAAAAAGGGAAACACACTGACAGAGTGGTGATGCTGGTACCTTCCTGGGAGAAAGTTGACTCTGCCAAAAAATCTCATAAGACAGCATACTTTGGTGCATTTGTCAAGGTCCTCAGTCTAATGGGCTCAAAATTTGAGATTGTCATCACAACCAAGGGCAAACTTAATTTTCAAAAGAATAAAAAAATATTTTTATATATGTATATATTCTGATAGAAAACCAGAGTTTCAGAATACTATATCACATGGCCGGTGCTGCAGCTCACTTGGCTAATCCTCTGGCTGTGGTGCCGGCATACCAGGTTCTAGTCCCGGTTGGGGCGCCGGATTCTGTCCCGGTTGCTCCTCTTCCAGTCCAGCTCTCTGCTGTGGCCCGGGAAGGCAGTGGAGGATGGCCCAAGTCCTTGGGCCCTGCACCCACATGGGAGACCAGGAGAAGCACCTGGCTCCTGGCTTCAGATCGGTGCAGCACGCTGGCTGCAACGCACCGGCTGTAGCGGCCACTTAGGTGATGAACCAACGGAAAAAGGAAGACCTTTCTTTCTATCTCTCTCACTCTCTCACTAACTCTGCCTGTCAAAAAAAAAATATTATATCACAATAAAAACTGTCATCCTCCTACAACCAGCACTGGTTGCAATAATCAGCAGCGACCTGCATGGCAGTCAAATCCTCATCAGAGGGTTGTCTGATGACCACAGACTTTGAACCAGAAAAGTAAAGCAAAACAATTCTCTGCCAAACAGACAGCCTTGAAGACTAATGGGGCAAGACGACTGAGAAAGCTCTTCACTTAGGTTCTTTGTAACCTACCTGAGGCTTAGATGGGCACTGCTAACACTGGTCTATTATCCAAAGAAACAATCTACAGTCTGTGTGATACAATCTTTCTTTGGCTGTTAATAGATTCAATCAAGCAACATCATGAGTTTACAAGTATCAGAGTTATTCACTCTGTTTAGTTGGCTCTGCCCATCTATATTTAGCCCTAAATTAACATGTTGAATTTACAATTTTACTAAAAAAAATCCTATTATTCTCTTAATATCAAATTCTTGTCTCAGGGTAACTACAGTTATTAAAAATATCTATTACAAAGAGAGCCACAACAAGAGACTGGTAACACATTGGATGTTTTGATAAAACAAGTAATTAACATTTAAAAATTACAAGATTTTTGTTGTACAGAAGAGGGAACTTTCACAGAGAAAACAAAATCTCCCCAAACCCAAAGTTATACTTCTGGCTGTCTGGGGGAAAAGGAACACAAAAGAAAACAGAGGTACAAACAGAGGGAGGAAGAAGGCATGGAATGGTTTTCTAAGTGTTATTGTAGTCTGCATCAACCTAGAAAAGTTACCCAAACATATCGATGAGACACTGGTGGGCCTCAAGGTTAAATATTTTGCAAAGAAAACAGAATCTAGATGATATGATGAAATAAAATTTGGAAAACATACATTTGTCAAAAATACGTTGATTTAAACAG